TTTGTGTTCTGTCCAATGGGCGCCGGGCTCCATCCCCCACGCGCGGCGCTCGCCTTACAGGTGACAGCTGCCACCGGCGACGCGGAGGGAATGGGGGAGCGGAAATTCCCACCGCCCCCCAGCCCCGGAATTAAAGGCGCAGCCAGGCGCTCGGCTCTCGGTTGCTAGGTGGGTGTGTTCCCTAGGGATGCCGCGGTCGGCCGGCGGGGAAGGGATTTTTTATCCTTTAATATTCAGCTACTAAAATATACCGAGTGGACATTTAAGGGCAACGATTTTTTAAAAAGACCGTCAGTACCTCTCCAGTTGGTTTTTTTTCCCCTTTTTTCTTTTTGTATTGCGTTTCATATCGGAAAGCGGCTTCATGCAATTTACGGCAAAAACACTTCGCTGTGCGTAGCATTGCACACTACTTGAGGTTTAGAGAGACGTTTTAAAAAGCCATTTTCTCATGATGAAATAATACATCTTCACCTAGCATTTTGGGAATAAAATCATGGGGAAACATAAGGAAAGAAAAATATATCGTCTGAAACCACCATGGACATTTTGAAATATCCCCTCCCCCACAGGTGCATACATGTTTATGATTTACAATAAGAAAGCAACATCGGAGTCATGCTATGTTTTAAAAATATCATTTCTTCCACACACATTTACTGAGCACATAGTTTGTTCCTGGATCTTTTCAGGCTGCGCATCAGTTAGCAAGACAGATTGAACCCCCCCCAAACACACACACACACGCACACACACACACACACACACACACACACACCCCTGAACTAGTGCAGCTCCTATATTGGAGAGCAGAAGTAATATGGTGACTCTGAAAGCTGGATGATATGCTAGAGAAATACTAGGGAAGAAATAGAGCCTAGGGTAAAACAGGAGAGGGACAGGTTGCAATGTGGATCTTGGTGGTCAGCGTAGGACCCATTGTGAAGGTGGCAATTAAGTAAGGCCTCGAAGAAGATCAGGGAGTTCTGTAGACCGGAAAGAGTTTTCTCAGCTAGAGATGGGCCTGCTAGGCAGGAGTAGTATCTGTTTCTTAATTTACAAATGCAGCGCTGCAAATACATGACAAGTATATATATAACCAGAGGCAGCGTATTGTAGGGGTTAAGAGAACAACTCTGGAGTCGGAATTCCACACTTGAATTCTGGCTCTACCTCGTGCAAGTGTCTTGACCCGTCTGTGCCTCAGTTTTCTTATCTGTAAAGCAGGGATGAAAACAGCACTTTGCTTCTCAGGTTGTTGTGAGGATTAAGTGAGAAAATAAACACAAAATTTTTAGAATACTACTTGGCCTACAGTACTCATGCAAATTATTGTTAATAATATAGTCACTCCTATCATTATTACTCACTGAAAAGAAAAAGAGGAAAATGTGAAGGGTCCCCTTTCCCTAACCCAGGCCCCCAGAGGCAGTTTTTGAGTCTAGCCCTATCTCCAAGCTGCATACAACTTCCCTCACTTTATATTGTGAGCATCTCACCCTGGTAATGATAACTATTCTTCAAAAAGACACAATTTTTAATGATAGCATCAAATAAATGTAATACTATATTTTCTTATTGTCTACATTGTTTCTAGTTTTCAATTCTTATAAATGGTGCTGCTGATATATGAAGCTTTTTGCACCTTTCTGATTAATTCCTTAGGATAGAATCCTACAGTAGATTTACTTGATCAAAGGAAATTAATTATTCATAAGACTCATAAAACGTATTGCTAAATTGCTTCCCAGAAAAGTTGGAGCCCGATGAAAGTACGCTATCTTTTCCTCAAGGGTAGTGAATCAGATTTTTTAATTTGTCAATTTGAAACACAAAAAGTTGTATCTCACTCTAGTTTTCATTTATTTTATTCTGGTGAAGTTAATTTTTTTCCCCATGTACTTATTGTCTACTTGGATTTATTCTTTTGTGAATTTCCTTTCCCCATTACCCATTTATTAATATTTTTCTTGTTGATATATAGTTATTAACCCTTTATTAATAAGCTATATTTTCCCAGTTTTTTAAAACTTTGTTTTATAACACTTTCATTTTTAAACAACTCTTTAATTATAAATATTGTATCTTTTTAGCTTAAAAAATGTAAATGCAGGCCAGGCATGGTGGCTCAAGCCTGTAGTCCCAGCATTTTGGGAGGCTCAAGTGAGAGGATTACCTGAGCCCAGGGGTTCAAGACCAGCCTGGGCAACTTGGCGAGACCTTATCTCTACAATAAGTCAAAAAATTAGCTGGGTGTGGTAGCGCACACCTGTAGTTCCAGCTACTTGGAGGGATGAGGTGGAAGGATCACCTGAGTTCAGTAGGTCGATGCTGCGATGGCCATGAGCGTGCCACTGCACTCCAGCCTGGGTGACAAAGTGAGACTCCAACTCAAAAAAAAAAAAATATGTAAATGCAAAATAGTGTAGTATTCAGCAATCTACACCAGAATAGTAACAATGCCCTTGGAAGAAGTCCTTGTTTGATGATACTGTAACTCTCGCTTTGGTCTAAATACCCCCTTCTTTAAACCCACCTCAGGTCCCACCCCTGTAAAGCCTTCTGCAACTGCCCCAGGTATGTCATGCTCAGTACTTCTTCCATAATTTATTTCAGCTGACATCTACTAAATATCTTTTAGTTCAAGGCAGTAAGCCAGGTATTCTGGGAGGAAGACACAACCTGCCTTTGAAGAACATATTGCGTTGTGGAGGAGAGAAAAGCATACAACTAATTAATGGCACAGCAGCATGAAATGAATGTGCCAGGTGCTTACCAGAGATGGAGTCTAAGTTGGGGGAGAGAGGAAACCTGGGAAGACTTCTAGAAGCAACTATGAGAACAAGATAGGAGCAGGCTTAGAAGTGGGACTGTGAAGGCTGAATTCAGTGTAAAGAATGTCTAGTGTGTTTGCAGTTAGGGTGTGTGCCAGGGATGCAGAAGATAATGTTGGAAAAGTAATCTAGGTTGCTGGGCGGAGGGCCCTAAATGTTGGACTTTAGTCTATGTGCAATAGAATATCATTGCAAGCTTTCCTCTTTTTAAAAAGTGGCTTTAATTCTTTTCTGATTATACATTTAATATTAGTGTTTTCCCAATTCTCAGTAGTTTTTGTTTGTTTGTTTGAGTTGGAGTCTCACTCTGTTGCCCAGGCTGGAGTTCAGTGGCATGCTCATGGCCACTGCAGTCTCATCCTGCTGGACTCAGGTAATCCTTCCGCCTCAGTCTTCCAAGTAGCTGGAACTACAGGCATGTCCCACCACACCTGGCTTATTTTTTGATTTATTGTAGAGACGAGATCTCACCAAGTTGCCCAGGCTGGTCTTGAACCCCTGGACTCAGGCAATCCTCTCGCCTCTGCCTTCTAAAGTGCTGGGATTACAGGTTTGAGCCATTGTGCCTGGCTCTCAATATTTTCTAAAATATAAAAAACACATCACATATTGGAGAGTCACTGTTAATATGATTTGATTTATGCTTTGAGGAGTTTTCCCCTATACATCTGTGGATGTATACACAGCCATCTATATCATTCAGAACAAATGAGATTAGACCCATGCTTCTTCACTGCTGCAGCAAAACACTGGTGTGGCAAATGGGTGGAAGGGGGGGTCCTGGGGAAGTGATGGCAGGGTCCCTGGGGAAGGTGGAGGGGGGTTCATCAAGTTAGGTAAGTGGGATGGGTGCCAAAGATATTTCAAAAGCAGAACTTGCATTGTATTGCCATGCCATTGTTGTCTC